AACCATTTTGTCGCTTCTGCGGAAGCGCTTCTTCGAGGTTTCGTCCGCTTCTGCGGACCTCACACTTCTGCGATGCTAGGCTCGCTTCTACGGGCTTACACATGCGTGATAATTTCTGCAGGTGCGGTTGCATCAGTAGGCAGAAATTCTCAGCTTTGTTGTAAGTCCAAATTTGATCCGTTAACCATCCGAAACTCACCCGAGGCCCCCAGGACCTCAACCAAATATAGCAATAAGTCCCAAAACATCATACGAACATAGTCGAGGCCTCAAATCACATTAAACAATGTTAAAACCATGAATCAAACCCCAATTCAAGGTTAATGAATATAAGAAAGTCCATCTTCTACATTCGATGCCGAAACCTATCAAATTTCCTGAATTGGGTTTCGACCCCGATATCAAAAAGTCAATCTCCAGGTCAAACTTCTCAACATTAAATTCTTATTTTCGCTATTTCAAGCCTAATTTAATTACGGACTTTCAAATATTTTTCCGGACACACTCCTAAGTCAAAAATTACCATACAGAGCTATTGGAATCATCTAAACTTTATTCTGGAGTCGTTTACACATAAGTCGACATCCGTCCAACTATATCAACTTAAGATTTAAATCTTGGAACTAAGTGTTCCAATTCTTTCTGAAACCTCCCCGACAAGTCACATATTTATAATTGAACACAGGATAAGCAGAAAATAGGAGAACGGGCCTGTAATACTCAAAACGACCGGCCGGGTCGTTACATTCTCCCCCTCTTAAACAAACGTTCGTCCTCGAACGGGTTTAGAATTATACCTGGAGTCTCAAATAGGTATGGATATTTGCTCTGCATCTCCCGCCCAGTCTCCCAAGTAGCCTCTCCGATTGGCTGGCCTCTCCATTGCACTTTCACTGAAGCTATGTTCTTTGATCTCAACTTTTGAACCTGCCGGTCCAAAATGGCCACCAGCTCCACATCATAAGTCAAATTACCATTCAACTACACTATACTGAAATCCAAAACATGATACGGATATCTGACATACTTTTGGAGCATAGATACATGAAATAGTGGATGAACACCCGATAGACTAGGCGGCAATACGGTTCATAAGCCACGTCTCCAATCCTTTTAAGTATTTCAAAAGGCCCAATATACTTAAGGCTCAACTTGACATTCTTTCCGAATCTCATAACACACTTCATAGACGAAGCTCAGAGTAGTACTTTCTCTCCTACCATGTAAGCAACATCGCGAACCTTCCGGTCGGCATAACTTTTCTGTTTAGACTGCACCGTGCGAAGTCGATCCTGAATCAATTTAACCTTTTCCAAAGCATCCTAAACTAAATCTGTACCCAATAGCCTAGCCTCACCCACCTCAAACTAACCTACCAGAGACTGACACCGTCTCCCATATAAAGCCTCATACGGAGCCATCTGAATGCTCGATTGGTAGCTGTTATTGTAGGCAAACTCTGCAAGTGGAAGAAACGGATCCCAAGAACCCCTGAAATCTATAACACAAGCACGTAGCATATCTTCCAGTATCTGAATAGTGAGCTCGAACTGTCCGTCCATCTGAGGGTGAAATGTTGTACTCAACTGAACCCGTGTGCCTAATTCTAGTTGCACTGCTCTCCAAAATTGTGATGTAAATTGCGTGCCCCGATCTGAAATGATGGACACTAGCACACCGTGTAGAAGAATAATTTCGCAGACATAAATCTCAGCCAACCGCTCCGAAGAATAAGTAGTACCAACTGGAATAAAATGCGGGGACTTGGTCAATCAATCTACAGTCACCCAAACAACATCAAACTTCCTCAAAGTCCGTGGGAGCCAACTACGAAGTCCATGGTAATAAGCTCCCACTTCCATTCCAGAATTTCAAGTCTCTGAAGCAATCTGCTCGGTCTCTGATGCTCGTACTTCACCTACTGACAATGTAAATACTGAGATACAAACCCTACTATATCTTTCTTAATTATTCTCCACCATTAGTGCTGTCTCAAGTCTTGATACATCTTTGTGGAACCCAGATGAATGGAGTATTGTGATCTGTGGGCCTCCAATCAACTCCAGCAATCCATCTACATTTGGTACACAAAACCGACCCTGCATCGTCAACATCCCATCATTTTCAATAGTAACATCTTTGGCATCGCCGTGCTGAACTATATCCTTCAGGACTAGAAAATGGGGATCATCATACTGGTGCTCTATGATGCGGTCATATAAGAAAGACCGAGAAACCAAAGCTAGAACCCGACTTGCTCCGAAACATCTAATCTCATGAACTGGTTGGGCAAGGTCTGAACATCAACTGCAAGAGGCCTTTCACCAATAGGAATAAATGCAAGGCTACCCATACTCACCGCCTTTCTACTCAAAGCATCGGCCTCCACATTGGCCTTGCCGGGATGATACATAATAGTAATATCATAGTCCTTTAGCAACTCCAACCATCTTCACTGTCTCAAATTTAGATCCTTTTATTTGAATAAATGCTGAAGACTCCGATGATCTGTAAATACCTCACAAGACATACCGTAGAGATAGTGCCTCCAAATCTTTTATGCATGAACAATAGCTGCCAACTCTAAATCATGAACAAGGTAGTTCTTTTCATGTGGCTTCAACTGGCATGAAGCATAAGCAATCACTCTACCCTCCTGCATTAAGACACACTAATACCGATCCGAGAAGCATCACAATACACTATATAAGAGCCTGAAGTTGAAGGCAAAACTAGAACTGGAGTTGTGGTCAAGGTAGTCTTGAGCTTTTGAAAGCTCTCTTCACACTCATCCGACCATCTGAACTGGGTCAATTTAGTCATACGCACCGCAATAGATGAGAAGCCCTTCACAAAGCGATGATAATAATCGGCCAAGCCGAGAAAACTCCGAATCTCAGTAGCTGAAGATGGCCTGAACCAACTCTGAACTGCCTCTATCTTATTTGGATCCACCTTAATTCCCTCACTAGAAACTATGTGTCCCAAGAATGCCACCGAGCTAAACCAGAACTCATACTTGGAGAATTTGGCATAAAGTTTATCCTCCCTCAGCCTCTATAGTACAATACTCAAATAATGTGCATGCTCCTCATGGCTACATGAGTACACCAGGATATCATCAATAAATACTATGACAAATGAATCAAGATATGGCTTGAATATACTATTCATCAAATGCGTGAATGCTACTGGGGCATTGGTCAGCCCAAAAGACATCATGAGAAATTCATAGTGACCATATCGGGTCCTGAATGTCGTCTTTAGAATATTCAAATCCCGAATTTTCAACTAGTGATACCCAGATCTCAAATCAATCTTAGAGAACACCCTCGCTCCTTGAAACTTGTCAAACAAATCATCAATACAAGGCAAAGGATACTTGTTCTTGATGGTAACTTTGTTCAATTGCCTGTAGTCGATGCACATCCGCATAGTACCGTCTTTCTTTTTCACAAATAGAACTGGTGCACCCCAAGGAGACACACTAGGCCTAATAAACCCCTTATCAAGAAGTTCCTAAAGTTGTTCTTTCAATTCCTTCAACTCAGCTGGTGCCATACGATACGGAGGAATAGAAATGGGCTGAGTGCCCTGCACCAAGTCAATACTAAAATCAATATCCCTGTCGGGTGGCATACCCGGCAGGTCTACAGGAAATACATCCGTAAAGTCTCGCTCTACCGGTATAGAATCAATAGTAGGAGTGTCTGTATCAATATCTCTCACAAAGGCCAAATATGACAAACACCCTTTCCCAACCATCCGTTAGGCCTTAAAGTAAGAAATTACCCTGCTGGGAACATAATCTAGAGAACCTCTCCACTCGACCTTTGGCAACCCCGGCATTGCCAACGTCACGATCTTTGCGTGATAGTCCAGAATAGCATGACATGGAGACAACCAATCCATACCCAAGATTACATCGAAATCAACCATACTAAGTAATAAGAGATCAACTCTAGTCTCCAGTCCCCCAATAGTTACCACACACGATCCACAATAATAGTATCGCCCACCGGCGTATCCAGATAACGAACAAAATATGAGGAAACATACGAATATATGGAACCAGGGTCAAATAATATAGAAGCTTCCCTATGGCACACTAAGACAATACTTATGATCACTGCATCTGACCTGGCAGAAATAGCATAGAATCAGGCTTGACCACCTCCAGATCGACCTCCCCCTCTAGAGCGACCTTTAGCTGTCTGTGCCCCACCCCGTTCTGGCTGGGCGGGTGGTGAATTAACTAGTGCGGGAGCCGCAACTTGACTCCTCTGCTGAGCTGGACCTCCCAAAAGGTGGGGACAATTTCTCTTCATATGACCCAAGTCTCCACAGTCAAAACAACCCTTCACGAATAATGGCGGCAAGTACTGAGTTGGACCTCGAGAACCAGAATAACTACTAGAAGAACCTGGTACAGGTAAACCTTGAACTGATGGTGCATGAGATGAACTCTGAACTGGAAGTGCACTAAGAGAAGACTGACTCAGCATGGCTAGCTGATGCGTTACGATAAGTTGGACGAGCCATCTGAGCAGGCCTATAAGGATGACCCCTGCTGTGATAGGGTTGTCCCCCAGAAGGAATACCGCTGGAATTACCCAGACCACGAGACCCCTTGGCCCCCATCTCCTCACGCTCATGAGTACGGTCCATTTCTAGCCTTCGGGCATTGTCAACCACTTCGTCAAATTTAGCACCTACTATATTTCCCAGATTCATGACAAAATGGAACTGATGGTTGAGGCCATTAATGAACCTCCTGATCTTCTCCCTTTCAGTGGGAACCAACCCAACTGCATGACGACAAAAGTTTGAAAATCGCATCTCATACTAGGTCACAAACAAGTCCTCCTGATGTAAATACTCAAACTGCCTGCGCAGTTCCTCTCTGCGGGTCTGTGGCACTGCACCTATTGGTCTGCTCTCCTCATAAGTCTCCCACCATCTGGAGTACGGGCGATAGGGGTATGAGTACCTCCCCCGGCCTAAAAGTTGGGTGGTGCGGCCTGAGATGAAACCACCTGATCAAGGCCAGTGCAAACAGTCAATATCTGGGCTAAAGCCTCATGAAGGCCTGGAATCACAATAGGCATAGCTGGTGCCTGAGCTGGACCCGCCGGCTCAATAATATCTGGAACCTACTCCTGAGCTGGAGCAACGGATGGTTCTATAGGTACTGCTCTAACTGCTGTACACGCTACACCTCAACCTCTACCACGGCCCCGGCCTCTCGTGGCCCTAACTGGTGGCTGGCCATCCGATCCGGTAGTACGCGTCCTCACCATCTGTGAGAGAATAGAATAATAGAAATTTAGTTTTCGGAATCAACAAATTTGCACGACAAGAATACAAGAATGTGAAGTTTTCCTAAGGGTTTGCCAGCCTCTCGAAGATAAGTACGGACGTCTTCGTACCGATCCACAAGACTCTACTAAACATGTTCATGACTCGTGAGACCTATGTAACCTAGGCTCTGATACCAACTTGTCACGACCCAAAATCATACCTTTCGTGATGGCACCTAACTTAATACTAGGCAAGCCAACAACCTCAATAAACCACAAATTCTTTTATGTTTGGAAACATAATATTTAAATTCAATATAAAAATCTTACAAATACTGATATAAAAACACTCCCAAAACCTGGTGCCATTAAGTACATGAGCATCTAAATGATAACGTAATCCGACTGATACAAACACTGTCTGGAAATGTAGAACAATACAAATAACTAAAAGGAAAGAGAGTCAAGGTCTACGAATGCCAAGCAGCTATCTCGATAGTCTCTAACAGATGAAACTCCGAAATCTAGCAGCCGCCGTATTCGAAAGTACCTGGATCTGCACACGAGGTGCAGAGTGTAGTATGAGTACAACCAACTCAATAAATAACAAGACTAACTTTTGGGCTGAAAGTAGTGATTGGCTCCACAGGTACAGTCCAATATACAAATAACAGTACAAAAATGTAGGCATGTTCTCAAGTTCAACAGTTAAACTCAATACAAGTAAAATAGATAAATTCTGCATGATATGAGGAATATGCCATCTCTATATCTACATGCCAAAATATATGTTGTATGTGATGTACCACAATGGAAACCTCGTATACTCACAGTCTCAGAATACTCAATCACTCAATATTGTATATGGCCATTCTAGCCCAAGGAACTCCATCCCAAATATATAAATATCAATTAACAGTCAGTCACTCAGTACTGTACAAGGCTAATCCAGCCCAGGGAACTCCATCCCCAAATATAAATAAATAAGGCAACTCCCTGTCTCGAGAACTCCATCCCAAATATATATAAATAAGGCAACTCCATCCCTAGGGAACTCCATCCAAAATATAAAGAAATAAGGCAACTCCATGCCTAGGGAACTCCATACCGAATATAAAGAAACTGCGCTCACTTTGGGGGTACAGACTCCAGAGGGGATCTTTTAGCCCAAGCGCGATAATAATCCAGATCCAGGCATAAATAAATAAAATATGCTGTGGCATGCAGCCCGATTCCATAAATATCCCTCAAAATCTCCAGTCTCTCGGGCTCTTAATGACATGAAAATCAACCCGACATGATGATATGATGTGTCAATGAATGGCAACAGAGACTGAGATATGATGTGCAAATGATGGATGTGACTGAGTACACAATTACAATTTAAACAAATAATTCAACAGCAACACGGCTCATTTGGGTCCCAAACATATCGGCACGTAGCCTAAACATGATCTTTAATACGAGTCTCAGCTCAATTTCTCCAACACGTGGAGGATACGTGGATAATGACATGATTCTTTGATTATAAAACTCTATGGAATTCACTTAAGTCACAATTTCTATGGTGCACGTCCACACGCCCGTTACCTAGCATGTGCATCACCTCCAAACAATTCACATAACACGTAATTCAGGGATTCATACCTTGATAACTAAGTTTAGAAGTGTTACTTACCTCAAACCGTGCAAGTTCTTTATTCCAATATGTCTTTGCCTAGTGAATCGACCTCTGAACGCCTTGAATCTAGTCACAATTAATTCGATACAGTCAACACAAATCATAGGAATCAATTCCATATGTAAACTCTAATTTTCCAACAAAATCTGAAATTTAACTCAAAAATCGTCAGTGGGGGCCATATTTCGGAACCTGACAAAAGTTATAAAATATGAACGCCTATTCAACCACGAGTCCAACCATACCAAATTTACCAAATTCCGATATCAACTCAACCTTTAAATCCTCAAATCTTGTTGTCAAATACCTAGGCCCAAATTCTCGAATTTCACCTTAAAAAGACGTAATCTAGTCAAAATACTTAATAATAATTCAATATTATTGACTAACAATGATCACAAGTGAATTACCTCAAGTGTTTTCGTGAATTCTCTCTGAAAAATTGCCTCAACCCGTGTTAGAAATATCCAAAAATGCCAAAATACCGCAACCCCTCTGATTTTATTCTGTCTAGGGATTTTTGCATTTGCGGCTCACTTAGCCGCATCTGCGGTCACACTTTTGCGGTTATGTTTCTTCTTCTGCGACAGACCTTCGCTTATGTGGACAAGACTCCGCTTCTGTGGTCCAGTCCTTCCTTAGCCTAGGCCGCATATGCGGCCATTTTGTCGCTTCTGCGGTCGCGCTTCTATGAGGTTTCGTCCACTTCAGCGGACCTCACGCTTTTGCGATACCAGGCTTGCTTCTGTGGGCTCGCACCTGCGTGATAATATCCGCAAGTGCGGTAGCATCAGTAGGCAGAAATTCTCAGCTTTGTTCTATGTCCAAATTTGATCCGTTAACCATCCGAAACTCATCCGAGGACATCAACCAAATATACCAATAAGTCCCAAAATATAATACGAACTTAGTCGAGGCCTCAAATCAAATCAAACAATGCTAAAACCACGAATCATACCCCAATTCAAGCTTAATGAAACTAAGAAATTCCATCTTCTAAATTCGATGCTGAAACCTATCGAATCAAGTCCGATTGATCTCATATTTGGCACACAAGTCATAAATGACATAACGAAACTATTCAAATTTTCAGAATCAGATTTCGACCTCGATATTAAAAAGTCAATCTCCTGGTCAAACTTCCCAACTTTAAATTCCTATTTTCGCCATTTCAAGTCTAATTCAACTACGGACTTCCAAATAATTTTTCGGACACACTCCTAAGTCCAAAATCACCATACGGAGCTATTGGAATCATCAAAACTTTATTTCGGAGTCATTTATATATAAGTCGACATTCGGCCAACTATCTCAACTTAAGCTTTAAATCTTGGAACTAAGTGTTCCAATTCATTCTGAAACCTCCCCGACAAGTCACATATTTATAATTGAACACATGATAAGCAGTAAATGGGAACATGGCTGTAATAGTCAAAACGACCGGTCGGGTCATTACAATAATGCCTTATCGGTATTCTTTTTCTCTCTTTATTCTCTTCCTAGTTACACAATAAATTTATAGCAGACTACGATGCTTGTTTGAAGTGAAATAAAGTGATTGATATTAGTTCAATCAAAGTATATCCCTCCTTTGTATCTTCTGTAGAATATATAAAGAGTTTCTCTCCATTTTTCATGACGTGATAGTGTAATGGTTGAAAGGCAACCTAAGGGAGTTGATTCTCAGAATCAATCAAGATGATTTTCTTCCAAGAATAGAATGAACCTTCTTTTCGTTGCATCCTTGATTTCCTTTTCCTTGCAAGCTGTTGAAATGAATATTTTCTGTTATGCATGATAGACTATTCTCTGTAGATCTTTTATAGAGATTGATTGATCTTCTAGACTGATTGATTGATGCCTTCCGTAAATAGCTGAATCAAATATCTGTTTTTCCATAAAACTCGCAGTCACATCAAATATACTCGTGATTCTTGCCTTTGGATCTTGACTCGCATGTTTGACTCCTTAATTCTTGCTTTCAGATATTCTGCTACAATCTTTTCCAATTCTTGCGACATCCTTCTTTGGGATTGGTTTTCTTCAATTAGAATTAAGTTATTTTCTATCATTGAAACATATATCTAACGGAGGGGTCATCAAGAATGTGAAAAAGACTTCACCTTTATTAGAATGTGACTTGTTTTGAGAACATGATGAGCTTGAAACTCTGTTATCAAAAGAAAAGGAGATATTTTTAGGTAGTAGTAATAGTTTTTTTTTAGATAGGGTTTTGGTTGGGGTAACAAAAAGGCTTTGGATTGGATGTGGAGTATCATCGCCCACTATAATTTCACTATTTTAACTGCTATTTTAGCTGTTAATTATTTTGATAGGTTTATTGATTTTGAGCGGGGTGGCTCGAGGTATAAATTATGGACCAGCGTTTGGATGGGGTCACGCACTACAGCGGAGTTATATCAAGGTATGAACCTTGTGTTAGGATCAGGTGATGGTTCTATGGTATGTGATGAATTTTTTGCATTTCATTATGGTGGTACTTGTTAACCTGGCAGGGCAGTTCTCTCATTTGAGTCATTTCTTTTTCATGACTGGGTACATTTGAATTATTACGTATGGGTGCACGGATGGCACGGGTTGTGGCCTTGAGTTATATTGGTGCTGCATGTCTGTGGAATAGTTATTTTTAGTAATATAAGGTCATTGGACCTGAAATGGGTACTATCAGGTTTAATTTCGATATATTCGAGAGTATAATATTGAAAGTCGGCTCAGAAAGAGATTACGGTTCTGGTTGGGGCGAGAGAGCTCTGTGACTTGTTAATCTGGTGAGTGGTCATGAAATTTTGCGTGTTTCTTTTATTATCAACAGTGTACGAAGGTTTTGGGATAAGGTTTGGTTTGATATGGGTTTAATACTAGTATGTGGTTGGTTTTGGAGTAGTCACTGCGATTAGGAATGGTGCTACGAGTATGCGAGTTGTGTAATATGTTGGTTGATTATATCTGTGGTTATAGTTATAGCTCGATGCAACTTGTTCGGACTTATACGATGTGTAAATGTAGGATTCGTGTCTTGAAAGAAATTCTAAAGGTTGGAAATTAAACTGCAAGGTTTTTGGGCTAAGGTTAACTTAATGAATTTCAGTTGTATTGTGTTGTCAAGGTTATATGGAATAGGGTGATGTGGGTTCACCCCCGGGTACGTGTA